CAGGCGGAAAAAAAAAAGGTGACGGGGAGATCAAAGGAGACTGAGAAAACAGTTATGAAATTTTAATTCTTGTTCCAATTACGTCTCATGTCATTGTCTCACTTGGCGGCACTTGAAAATAGCTCCTCTTGTATGTGTGAATGTGTGTGTGTGTGTGTGTGTATGTGTGTGCGCGTGTGTGTTTATGTGTGCATGTGTGTGTGTGTGCATGTGTGCGTGTGTGCATGTGTGTATATGTGCATGGGTGTGTGTTTGAGAGTGCTTGGAAGTGGGAGGGTCGAGTGTGCAGTTAAGTGTAGAATGAAGTGAATAAATAAAAGGTGAAACAGAAATGAAAAAAAAAATCCCATGGACTTTACGGGTGTAGGATTTAAAGAAACATAACGAAAAAAATGTTCAAATGAACATTGGTGGGAATATGACAGGGTTGTTTTGGAATGAGAGATACAAACAAACAAAAATCATCCATTGGACAAAATCGTTCACATTTGCATCAAGCTGTAGAGGATTTGGAATCGAACTAAACTTGATGATTCGATGCAGCTAGAATGACATACAAAATATGAATATGTGGCATCCTGCTGGGTTACCTAGAGTTATGTCTACATATGCTAAAGTGAATTATCATTATGTTTTTTAAAGGAACCATTTATTAAATTATTTGTAATGCAAAATAAATTTAACCTGCGATGATAAATTGTAGCTTATATAAAATCTTATACAATTTCACAAAGAAATCATTGTGGACTTTAATCTTTCTATTTTAAAAAAAAATACATCGTGGATACTTAGAAAATGGTAAAAACATAAAAAATAAAATAGAAAAATACTGAAATGATTACAAAGCTTGAGTTAAAAAAATAAAATGTTGAATAGTTTTTGAGTTTGAATTATCACCCCCCCCCCCCCCCCCCCCTCAAAACAAAAAAAAATAAACTTAAAAGATGCATATTGAACGTATTAGTCAAAAGCGCAAGATCGTGAAAATAAAATTAAAAGTCTATATTGACCTTATTTGCTAGCGACGAGAAATTAATGAGTAATCATTGTTTACAACGGCCATGCCGATATCCAGCTCGCTTGTAACTTCCGCCCAGATCCCTAGGCAACCATGTTATGAATGGCTGTCTGCTAATAAACTCTCTGTAACGGTCTATCTACTTTATTATTTGAAAAACATTTTTCTTTTAAATTACTCGTGTTGTGCAACAAGAACGTTAGAGATTATGTCATTACATTTAGTGATTGTGAGCTTTTATAAAATAGAGCAATAAATAGTGTAGATGTGTTGGATCTAGCCAGCTGATTGTGTTACTACATTCACAAGAGAGACCAGTGTGAGCATAAACAAATAAAATCATCGATTTCACTTTGATAATAAATGAACAGCAGGTCTGCTACGTCAGACACTTAAACAAAAAAAAAAAAAAAAAAAAAAGAATTAAAAAAAGAAACAAAAAAACATTGTGTTGTCAGATACGTATGGCGTCAGCATTTTTAAATGTTAAAAAAAAATGCTGATGTGTTTATAATGCATGGATTATAACAATGGTTATCCCCAGGGCTACGGCTACACTCACATACGAACATAAGTTACATACATGTATTCCAATAACACATCGGACAGACACAAGTTGAGTATATTACAGTAACATAGGACAAACACAAGTTGAGTATATTACAGTAACACATCGGATAAACACAAGTTGAATATATTACAGTAACACATCAGACAAACACAAGTTGAGTATATTACAGTAACATATCAGACAAACACAAGTTGGGTATATTACAGTAACACAGTAGTCTTGATGGCGAGCTTGTCCATGGATACAAAGGCCAATATAATAGATAATCTTATATCAGACTTAATCATCAAACGTCCCAAACTCATTACAAAAAATATATATAAATATAAAACTGTTTAAAAAATTGTAGCTATTTGAAAGACTACAATCATAAGTAGTTCATTAGTAAGTCAGTCTGATTAAGGCAATGGGAAAGTAGGATACGGTATAATTATTTTTAGTTGACTGGAATATGGCAAGAACCAAGCAGTACATTGGTTGTAGTAAGGTGTCTTAATAAACCACGCCCTTATGGATGTTGTCAAACCATTGCTAACGCTACAAATAAAACAGAATAATAATTAAATTTAAAATAATTAAATAGTAGTACAAGGTATATTGAAGCTTGAATCTAAGGAATGAAATTAAAGACCCTAATGTATATTTTCGAGATGCCTTAAAATATTCTTCATTTATTTTCATAATTGGTAGAAGTTGAAAAAAAAAATCAATTGGATTGAACGAAACAAATAAATAAATAAATTATTCCATAGTTGTCCAGAGAGATACAATATAAAGACAAAGGAATAATAAAAAAAAAAAAACCAACAACAACAACGCACGCATACATACTGGACCAACATCGATGATCAGAATTCTTTAATTTATATCTTAATAATGATACATTTAGTTTAAGTTTTATACTCTGGAAAACTCTACGAACTGTATAGAAAACAGAGCAAATATTTATTAGGGTACAACTGATTTACAGAGTTAATTAATAAACAAAAGAATTAACATAAATGATTCTAATTTTGCTATGATAGTTTTCTTTAAAATGTGTAATCTTGTACCCTCCATCTCTCTATTTCATTGAATTTTGTAAGTGGTGTTCGAAAAGTCAGTGACAAATTTAAACAGTGGATTTTGTGAGCTATACTTTTTATGCTGTGTTGCTCCGGGTTGAAATGGCTAGAAAGACTTTGCCATTGTATGCTTGTAATTAGTTTTCGTAGTGTTGTGTTTGTTTTAAATGTGGTGAATTATAGATATGTTTTTTGTTGACTTTGTACCGCGCTTCGAGCCTTGGGGATGAAGCGTGGTTTTTTAAATGAACTTTATTATTATTATTATTTAAAAAAAGAAAAAAGATAGACAATGTATTCTTAAGGCAATGATTTCTCTCTCAAAAAAAAAATTGACTACTTCATTTTGCGACAATTCATTTCTACCTTTATCTGACTCAGTCTGTGCTTGTATAAATGAGTAGAATTCACCGCCATACTCTCTACACCTTCACACACCCCAACAAAGCATAGTTCTACATGGTTAAATTTTTTTTGTAAAAAAACATTGACTTCTGTATCCACGCAAGATTCAATATATAAGCGCCTGTGTTATTTAACACACATCTACTACGTGCTACTAACGGTATTTACATTTTATTTACATAAAAGTGATCATTTAGCAAAAGGGTGGGGGGGGCTGGGGGTGGAAGGTTAGGTAATACAATGTTGGTAAGCACAATCAATGTGATCAATAGATAATCGAATGAGTCATCGATTAGTTCAACGATCATTAATATCAACGTAAGAAATTTGTGATGAGGCAGATGCAGTGAAATATTTTAGATCTACAAGTTCACCTGAACTTTGACATTCCACGAGCATGACAGGGGACGTAATCAATGACCTCCTCTAGCTGAAGCTGTCTCGGCGAGATATAGTTGATAAATACCATGTTCTTTCAATACCTTACGTTTTGTCTCAGTGATGTCTGGATTTCAATAAAACATTAACTTAAATCTAAACTAGAAGTGTTTTCAACAAAAAGTGTAAAATATCAGTTGATACTACTCGAAAAATTAAAATAATATCAAAGTTATTCTCCCAAATACAGTTTTAATATCTACAAGAAAACACACAAGGCCAGGCTCGAGGTGTTTTGATTGGTTAAGAAAATAATGAGCAAAAAAAAAAAATAAATAAAAAATAAAACAAATAAAATAAAATGACAATTTAAGATCATGGTCCCATCCACGAATGACGTCACACATGTGGGGGGGGGGGGGGGTGAGGGTTGCCAAAAGTTATCACCGTGTTGAGGGAAGGGGTGTTAAAAAGCAGGAAAAATAATAAAACAAATAAAATAAAATGACAATTTAAGATCATGGTCCCATCCACGAATGACGTCACACATGTGGGGGGGGGGAGGGTGAGGGTTGCCACAAGTTATCACCGTGTTGAGGGAAGGGGTGTTAAAAAGCAGGAAAAAATAGAATGACGTCATTTGTGGGTGGTATATACCTGTAATACAAAATATATCAATTAAAAAAAAAAATGATAATAACTATTAAATTTATTTACTGAGTCAAAAAATAAAAAAAAAAGGTAAACTAGAAGATCCATTAATATTTGTGTGGCTACTTTTCATCAATGTCAGAAACCTGCAGGAAAAACCTGCAGCTCTGCTAAAGATTTCGATGCTGTATCAAAAAAATAGATACATAACAGTACTATTGTTGTGATTGAATTTAGTTACAAGAACCTAATTTTAGAAACTCGAGTACCGGTATACTAAGCAGAGCAGATTAAACAGAAATCAACAGAGAATCTTTTTTTTCCTTCTTCATTTGTTAGTATTTGTGTCAAAGATCATGTTAAGATCCTATATTTTAAGATCACGTATTATACGATCATGTATTTTAAGATCGTGTATTGTAAGATCATGCATTTAAGATCACGTATCGTAAGATCATGTATTTTAAGATCATGTATTGTAAGATCATTTATTTTAAGATCATGCATTTTAAGATCATGTATTGTAAAATAATGTATTGTAATATCATGCATTCAAAGATCCCATATTTCAGCTCAGCGCTGAAACCGCCAGTCACTGAAAGAGCATATCGGTACAGGGCAAAGGTCTCATTCAAATATATTATGATCTTTGAGTTGGAAAAAACGACAACTCATATTCACTCTGTGTAATCATTACAATAAATATTGCACTTAATAATCATTTAAGAAATGCTGTTTATGAAAAACATTAATTTTTGTGTATTCACAAATATAGTTATTATCACACGCATTTTGCAACTCTGGGTGAATATAAAAAGCGTAATCAGTAACCTTTATCCTACTTAACAAAACAAAGAAGATTTTTAAAAATAGAAAGAAAACAAACTCTCCTAGCAGGCCGGTTTGATGACAATCATCTACACGGGTCGGTTAGCAGCTTCCGGAACGCTTTCCTAAACTCCGGGTTGAAGATGGTGTAGATGACGGGATTGAGGAAGCTGTTGATGTAGCCGAGCCACTGGGCCATGCTGATGTAAATGGGGTTCATGTTGCATGCCGGGTACTCGTCCAGGTCGTATCTAATGCAGATGGCGCTGATGATGTTCAGCGTGAAGAAAGGCACCCAACACACGAGAAATACACCTGGGGGTGATAGAGAAGTGCATATGTTAGATATACACGAGAAACACACCGGGTGGATAGAGAGAGGGTTAGAGAGTGGGGTAGAGAGGGGGAAGAGAGGGGGTTAGAGACGGGCTAGATATACCAGAGAAATACACCTGGGGGATAGATAGGATTACAAGTTAGACATACCGAGAACGCCAACACTAGATTGGAATTGTACACAATAAATAGAGAATATGCACATTCCATCCATCCCTGTAGCGCTACAGCCCAAGTAGGGCTTTGGCCTGCCTTCTACTCAAACCTTGCTAAAGCATATCTTTTCCATGCTTGAATTAAAGTTTTATAAATTATTTTCTTTGATTCACTTATTTCCTTTAGTACAGAGACTATATTAAATTGCACTCTAATATTTATCCATATAGAAGAAATGAAAAGAATGAAAAAATAAATATTTTGGGGATAAAATAAAAATGTTTTGAATTGAATTGTAAACTTGACCTCATTCTTCTCAAACACCTTGATCTGCTTCGACCTGGGTGTAAAAGGGCATAGCTGCCAAAACGCAGGGCCAGTGTAACTTTCCCAGGTGATGTCCCTTATGGAAAGATAGATCAGTGCACTAGGACGAGTCGCTGAAACCCACTTTAAACTATGTTTAATGACTCAGACGGCCGTATGTGCTAACCTTCAATGTCCAGACGTAGAGGGGCCTTTTCAGGGGCGTAGCTAGGGTTAGTGACGCCTGATGCCGACCAAGAATTTTACCCCCCCCCCCATTCCCATTTGTACATCAACGAAATATATTAAGCAGTTGACAGAAAAATGTCGCCCTTAAAAATATAGACAAATGTGCCGCACGGAGCGCACCTCCCCTGAACACCCCCTGAAATCTACTGACAGTAGCTCTGTAAGTTCTACTGACCACGGATCTGTAAGTTCTACCGACAATGTCTCTGCGAAATCTACTGACAGTAGCTCTGTAAGTTCTACTGACAACGGATCTGTAAGTTCTACCGACAATGTCTTTGGGAAATCTACTGACCAGTAGCTCTGTAAGTTCTGCGAGTTCTACTCATCAGTTACTCTCCCATTTTTACACTGCAGTGTGTCTCAAAGCTCTGAGGTTTATTTATTTAAGAATTCCTTCCCCCCAAAAAACATGTACTCTGGACTTAACCAGTTTTCAAAATGTAAAAACAGCTTACAAAAAACCAAAAAACACGCTTTTCCAAAAATATCCTCATTAACGTTATCTTGAAGGACGCATGCACTTTCAATGTCAAGGTTGCACCTAGGGTAATTTCCCCCTCTTAATCTTTCCTCTAAAACGCTATCACAAAAGGAAATGTATAGCAACTGGGAAAAAAAAAAGAAAGAAAAAGAAAATCCTATTGCTTGAAATAGCCATAGAATGGTTTAACAATAAGAATGTAGCGAATCAAGAGATTTACACCTGATCAAATACACACCATTAGGACTTGAGCCGTTTTTCCTTCTTTTCGCACGACGATCGAATGCTGAGCTGAGAGAACCTCGCCACACCCCTCCCCCCCCCCCCCCTTCGAATGTATCGCTTATTCCTCCCCCGGGGTGCGACACTCTCGGCCCTCGCCAGCGGCGCCCGGTAATGGTGGCTAAATGTTGTTGGTAACAATAGCCAAGGGAGTTTTTACCACCGTTACAAAGTTACGTGGACATGACCCTGGGGGGGGGGGAGGGAATAAGACGAAGCGCGCTGTTTTAGTAAACACATGTTTACACCGCAATGGCTGTTTGTGTAAGGAGGATGTGTAAAGTGAGGATGTAATTGTTGTTGCATGCAGGGCCGGCGCTAGAAGGGTGCGGGACCTTGGGTAAATTGAATTTTGCGGGACCGTTGACTATCGATTAGGAACGATTAGTAGGCTTAGGTATTTTATAATTATACTACGGCAACGCGCAGGGCCCCGCAAACCCGGGGCCTTAGGCGGTCGCCCACTTCGCCATCCCCTAGCGCCGGCCCTGTTTGCATGTGCACTTATCCCAAAACTAGGTCACACAACTGTCTGACAAATGAATGTAATAATCCGTTGAACCATTGATCAAGAATATTGATAAACACATGCAATAACTATTTACTGTGTCGGTGACGGGAGTAAAACGCAACACAGTTTGAGAAGCCCGATAATCTAAACACCACCATTTTTATCTCCAACCCAAAAGCTGTGTACTACGTCACGGCATAAACGGAATATGTCAAAGAGCTCAAAAAAGAATTACACAGATTAGTCACGAATCGTGATGCGTGTGGCTTAGAATAAGTGCTATGTAGAAGTTGAAGGTCTTTACCAACGCATGTTTAGGTCTAGTCAAATTCGATCCCCCACTTTTCCCAAAACGCGATCAAGTTGTCTATTTCAAGTGCGTAATTTGATTATTATGTTGATTCAGGAGCTTGGCCGTAATGAAGCTCCATTGATCTCTTTGTCTACGACTGGTGGTAGGAATAGCGATGTTCACATCTTCATGTGTCTGTACGTTTGTTTAATAAATGAAGGACTGCCAGGTTCAAGGTGTGTGTATGAAATGGTAGGACAAGGAATGTGGAGACTGGAATCAAAAGACATGACCATTAAGATGTGAACGTTTCGGCTAGGAGCCTTCCTCGGCAGAGAGGACAAATGAAAATACGACAAGAAACAGAGTACAGTTCAGAACATAAGTGATCGCCATTGTTGTTTCCGGAATATCATATATATTTTTAAAAAAATAAAAAAATAGAGAATGAAAAAAAACAACGAAAACACCGAAAGCAGTCATTGTAATAAAAATGTAAGATGAGACTTAAAAATAATGAATTTTGTTTAAAAGTGGTGACAATTTCTTCGTCTCCATCGTGATGAGCATCTCTCACGATTTTTTGTTGTTGTCGACAACGGCGTACGGTCGACATGACAGATCCTTTATCTCACATTCTGGTAACAGTAGGGTTTCATGAAACATGTAGTTTGAAAAACATACATTTTTTTCAATCTAACTCCGAACTGAAAGGTTTTGGACAGTTCAAAACGAAACCGTGGTGGCGACTCATTTGTTCTTTTCAATCTGTTGTATACTATCGAATTAGCCTGCCTTTTGAGCTCAAATAAAGATAAAGGCAAGAGAGCAACCATCAACACCACTTCCCCAGAGACCGAACGTGACATGTTATTGTAAACAATGGGCACGTGACACGGCCATCACGTTGCTACAGCTCACGTCTGAGTTCTGTTTCACACTCAACTATTGTACCTCGTTTCAACCAAAATTTTAACCTCGAAGCCATACATTGAACTTTAGAAGCAATGACGTCATTTGTTTACGAATCGATTAATTGATTTCTAAATGTTTCTAGTCTACAATGACCTGGTGATATTTCCTATCATAGTCAAACGTTTCAGGACACAGCGTGTTATATTCATATAACTATCAATATAATATATATATATATATATATATATATATATATATATATATATATATAAAATATATATATATATATATATATATATATATATATATATATATATATATATATATATATATATATATATATGTAAATTTATTTATTAATTATTTATATTATAGCCTCAACGCATCTCAAACCATCTAAGGGATAGGGTGAACTCTGTATCTGCGTGTGTCTGCATTTTGTTTAGGTTTTGAGACTACCATTGGACATGAAATAGCCCACAGACCTCTTACAGAAAGTGACGCAAATAAACTAGAAATGAACTTCCAAGATACATTGATAATATATGAAAGGGTGGCAGTCTAATCAGTTGGACTCCTTCATAACTCAACGACGCTATCATGACGTCAAAAGCTGGAGTGCGATTTGTGCTTTTTTTCGACTCTACGGACTTCAAGTGAAAAGTATAACAATTTTAAAAAAAAAAGACAAACCTACCACAAGGTCTGTTCACGAATGCATACATTATATGGGTCATGTGTTGAACGTGTGCCCCCGTTTGAGAATACTTTGATTATAAAAGAAAGACTTTCTCACCTCTCCCTCTTAATATATCGCAGGACGGGAGGCATCAGGACGGGAGGCACTCTTCGTCTAAGAGGCACTCGCTGAGCTGATATTTCTGTCGCGTCTAAATGGCAAAAACGTGTCTAGATTATCTCGGCAGTAATGATACCACGAGATGAACATAAGCTGGTAGCTTTCCCCAAACAAGAACTACTGCCCAGTGGTTCTAAACATTTTGAAACAACATAATGACAAAATAGATAAGAATGCCGTGGAATTAAAATGATTTTCAGTACGTTTCACCCATCCAGTAGACTGAGGATTTTCTGATTTCAAATAAACCAACAGAATTAATGCAGTGAAACAATCGAGGATTTGGAAAGTTTGCGAGGAAGTCAGGATATTTGTTTGAGAGTATTTTGTGTCAACTTGGAAATAACCCTTGGACATAAAATGTAATGATTTTTAAAGATATTTTAAGAGAATTATTGTCTTCGTTCTAGAACATTTAAAATCGTTTTCGATAAAAAAAAAAAAGTCTTTAAACAAGTTTTCTTATGTATTTTTACAAATTCCAATTTGTATTGGACCCAAAAATTATGTTTATTGTTCTAAAATCGATTCGACTAAGTCGCTTAGGGCTAATTAAAGCAGACCCCATTTGATAGTTCTTAAAATAAATGTTATAGATCTATTCTGAGTAAAGCTTTTCCCTCGAGTTACGGTATCATTATCGAATCAAAGTTTACATTGCCAAACTATGGCAACCAGAAATGAGATTAACCAATCCATCTGCTCTTTGCTCTACGAAAATTGCATTTGTTTTCTCTTCGTGGCTGTACCCCAGACGATATAGAACATTTCAAAATCATTTTAACTTTTAAAAAAAATAAAAGATGATTTCCAACTCATTAACTGACCACGACAGACAGTGACGTCATTATGTTTTGTTTTCCATTGTTTACTTTTAACACGCAAACTCTAATTTTTTTATTTTTTTTTGTTTCATCTTCATTTCAGTTGATTTTTTTAAATTTTTCTTTTAGTGGTTCTCATTCATCAAGAAGTAAATACGAAATACAAGATATTATTTTCTTTTGTTTACATTTGAATGAGTTGACTTGTATGTTAATTGGTATATTTATTATACTAAGATTGGACCAATAAATCGAATACTTGACTTTGAGCTTTGTGAATTAATTCTTATCTAGTATAAGACCATGTGTTCTATATATTAAAGGTTGCATCTTCCACTGAATTTCACCCTAGATTTTAGCTCCAATCTAAAACAACCCATCCCCCCTCCTCCTCCCGCTTCTGCTTAATTACGTTGGTGCCGTAAATGTTCATGCACGTTGCAGCACAGCACACTCTAATTGCTGTTGTTCGGCCAGGTCCTTTTGACCTTTCTAAACCAGACGTCACGTGTCGCAGAGTGGACATCTCATTGATGTCCGATAATAGCCTCGCGCTGACATTCTACAGCCCAGTTGTTCTGATCCCCAACCCCAGCCCACCCCGACCCCAAGCCCGAATTTTACCCCACAGCTAATACCAGACGTACACACAATGATGTCTGTGACATTTGTGTTTACAAAGCCAACTGCAGTTTGTGTGTGTACTTGTATGTGTGTGTGTGTGTGATGTGATCGATTGTAACAGAAGTGTGCAAGGTCTTGATGTTACACTGAGTCTTAAGAGATCAACAGGAATTTTAAGGTGAATTTTGTTTAATAGAGGTACCTAATTACACCAATTTGCTAGTGCATCTCTATTCAACATCTTATTGACAGTACAAATGCATTTTACGACGTATTGCAAGTACTGTCATATTTTACGTTTTACACCTACATTTTATGTCCTACTGCAAGTACAACTACATTTTATGCTCTGGTGACTGCAAGTAGACCTAAATTGTATGCCTTACTGCAAGTACACCTACATTTTATGCCTTACTGCAAGTACAACTACATTTTATGCCTTACTGAGTGCAAGTTCACCTACATTTCACATTCTCATGCTAATTAAAGAATACTCAGTATTTGGTTTTTAAAAAAACCTACGCCACTTTATTTGACCAGCGGCACACCAGAGACCTCTCTAAGAATTTCGCGGCACACCACAAGACAAAACATGCCCAAAAATATACAAAGTAACATAACGTAGTTAACATGAAAAGAGCTTTGTAAGCACAAAGTATTTCTCTACATTAAGGGACATCCATTTAGTACATACGGTACTATTTTGCAGCACTCATTACCATGTCGCGGCACACGGCACCACTTCGCGGAACATGGTACCGTCTCGCTGCACACAGCACCACTTCGCGGAACATGGTACCATCTCGCTGCACACGGCACCACTTCGCGGAACAGGGTACCATATCGCTGCACACGGCACCACTTCGCGGAACAAGGTACCAACTCGCGGCATAACTATTGAGGAGCTTTGTCTTTACGTATAGGTCTTAAATGGGGGGGGGGGGGATCATGACCTTGGTAATAAGTCTTTTGTGGATATTGTTTGCTTTTGTCGTTGTTCTTGTTTTGGGCTGGGGATGGCAGGGGTCAGAGCCGTTCTTAGGCATAGGAAAACTAGGCGACCGTCTAGGGTCCCAGTGCAAAGGCCGTTCTTAAGCATAGGAAAACAAGGCGACCGTCTAGGGTCCAAGTGCCAAGGCCGGTCTTAAGCATAGGAAAACAAGGCGACCGTCTAGGGTCCCAGTGCCAAGGCCGTTCTTAAGCATAGGAAAACTAGGCGACCGTCTAGGGTCCAAGTGCAAAGGCCGTTCTTAAGCATAGGAGAACTAGGTGACCGTCTAGGGTCCCAGTGCCAAGGCCGTTCTTAAGCATAGGAAAACAAGGCGACCGTCTAGGGTCCAAGTGCCAAGGCCGTTCTTAGGCATAGGAAAACTAGGTGACCGTCTAGGGTCCCAGTGCCAAGGCCGTTCTTAGGCATAGGAGAACTAGGCGACCGTCTAGGGTCCCAAGTGCCAAGGCCGTTCTTAGGCATAGGAGAACTAGGCGACCGTCTAGGGTCCCAGTGCCAAGGCCGTTCTTAGGCATAGGAAAACAAGGCGACCGTCTATCGTCTAGGGTCCCAGTGCCGAGGCCGGTCTTAGGCATAGGAAAGCAAGGGGAGCGGCTAGGGTCCCAGTGCCAAGGCCCGTTCTTAGGCATAGGAAAACTAGGCGACCGTCTAGGGTCCCAGTGCCAAGGCCGTTCTTAGGCATAGGAAAACAAGGCGACCGTCTAGGGTCCCAGTGCCAAGGCCGTTCTTAGGCATAGGAAAACAAGGCGACCGTCTAGGGTCCCAGTGCCAAGGCCGTTCTTAGGCATAGGAAAACTAGACGACCGTCTAAGATCCCACTGCCAAGGCCGTTCTTAGGAATACGCAAAGTAGGCGACCGTATAGGCTCCCACTGCCAAGGCCGTTCTTAGGAATAGACAAACTAGGCGACCGTATAGGGTCCCAAAGCCAAGGCCGTTCTTACGCATAGGCAAAGTAGGCGACCGTCTAGGCTCCCACTGCCAAGGGGGCCCGGTCTGGCGTTTTTTTTCTTTCAGCATACGACTTGCAAGCCCATTATATATTTCAGAAGTACAGATTTTCTCTAATGGCGGAATTATCAATAAGGTTCAATTATCAATAATTATCAATTATCAATACACGCGAGCAGGGAGGAAACAGTGACTAAGATAGAATAGTGGTGCCGCATTGGTGGGTGGGCAGTGAAGTGTGGGTCAAGAGAGAACATTTTGAGTAAAACAATGTTGTGTCAGGAAGACAGTGTCGAGGAAAGGAGGTAGTGGGATATAAATCTCTCTTCTAAGGTCTATTTTGCAGCTTCACAGTTCTCCTCAGCCCCCCCGGGGGGGGGAGGGCTGTGAGGGGGGATTCTAGGGACCCTACCTACGCACCATGCTTAGGGCCCCCAAAATACTAAGAACGCCCCTGCAGGGAAAGACACATTTTTTTTTTAAAAGAACAAGATTTTATGAAAGTAAATACATTTTCTTTAAGAACATAATACAAAATTCATAATATTTTTATGTTTGTGCTATTGTTTTAAAGAGTTCGGTTTTTTTTTTTTTTTTTTTTTTTTGGGGGGGGGGGAGGTGGTGTTTGGAAAAAAAAGGGATGGGGGCTTATTATATTTCAACTTTATTATATTTAAAAGTGAACTAATGAGAAATAAATTAATTCTCACCTAAGACTATAGCAAGGGTCTTGGTGGCTTTTTTCTCCCGCTTCGAAGAAGACTTCTCCTTCCGCTTCCGGCTCGTGCGCATGTGAAAGTTGAACTTGGTGACGCCCTTCTTGTGATCCCTCTTCGTCTTCTTCTTGGGGCTCAGCATCCCCTCGGTGGCGTCAGCATTGTCACTCGTGTCCCCCTTGCACACCAGGGAGGTGAAAGGCGTCTCCGCTTCGTTGGCGCACGTGACCGCGACCCCACCGGAAGTGGACGCCGACGCGGACGTTCCACCGTCCAACGCGGTGGAGCATCCCCCGTTCTTCCCTAGCGCCATGGCCGCGCGTTGCTCCGCCGTCTCCAGTCGGTCGAACTCTTCGGCCACCGGGTTCGAGATGAGCTCGGCGACCTCCACGTTCCGCAGCAGTTTCGGGTTCACCTGCGCGACGACCTTCGCTACTCCAAGGCATTTAGAATCGTTAGCGTTCGTGTTGTTGTTGGCACTTCCGCTCCCGCTCGGGCTCTCGTCGTCCTCGTCGTCGTTCGAATTATCATCCGAGTTGGAATTGACGTTCGTGATGGACCCGTCGTCACCCGCGTGCGTGGCGAGGAAACGTGACGTGGTCGCCTTCGACGACGTCGTCGTGTTGTACGTCACCCGGCCGTTGTCCATCTTGGCCAGCCCCGTCGTGACGGTGGCCTCCGACGCCCCGTACACACCTCCGGTGTCGTTGAGGGCCGCCCCGGCCGTGGTGGCCGGGTTCTCTATGACGCCCTGCAGCGCCCTGCGGTCGACGTCACGCATCCGTTTCGCCTTCTTCGCCTTGAGCGCCCGCAGGCGTATGACTTTGTAGATCTTCCAATAAAGGAAGATCATGATGATGGACGGGATGTAGAAGGAGCCCATCGAGGAGTAGATGATGAAATCCGAGTTGAAGAATCGGCAGTCGCCGACGTTCCGCTCGCTGGAGTAGTTGACCCCGAGGGCGATCGGCGCTGCTATGGCGACGGAGATGACCCAGGTGATGGCGAGCATGATGAACACGCGCTTCGAGTTCTTGTGCTTGGCGTACTTGATCGGTTGGGTCACTGCGATGAATCTGAATGAGAAGAGAATGAATAGAAAAAAAAAAAAGAACCACAATAAATATGAACAGATGGTTATTTGTTTTAGTAGTCATGGCTGTAGGATTATTGATGTTATAATGTTTTCATGTACTAACGCTCAGTTGTGATAGGAGAAAGGATTGTGATGATTGCTCTGGACTGGAAGAAGCGGGATGATTGATCTTGACTGGAATAAGCGTTTATATTGAATGGAAAAGCTATTTTAGACTTGGCCTAACAATGCTTTAGTATTTGATAAAGTGAAATCTAGAAGACTAGTATTGTGTGTGTGTGTCGCGATTTATTGGTATCCATGTTTGAAAGTGTTCTCGACTATATTATCATATTATAATATATTTTATACAAATTATCCAAATTACATCAACATTCATTTGTTTGTCCGTGGAAAAAAACAAATCTTAATTTTGGGACGAATCATAAGTCTTGTTAATGCAGTAATTTAGAAGTCCTGTCTACAGCTACTCTCTAAAAAAGCGATCAGTGTATATATCAATAAAGGTTCTGGTCTGAATTTGCGTGCTTCTTATTCACGATTATTATTATTTTTTTTTTTTTGGAAAACAAAGAATTTGCACATTTGCATAAAACTGACAACACGAGAAGGAGAATAACAACGGATATGGTAATGGATGACACTGAGATGGGTTTAAAAACGCAACCTAATTATACATGTAATTGTCATTAAATGTTTTCAGAAGGGCAATTATTCGTTGGTGATTTTCTTTTCTTTTTTTTTTTCTTCCTGGTTTTCTCTCTTATGGATAAGACAAACATTAATAGCGCTGAGCGCTGAAGAATTGGATTGTGCCAATGAAAATGGCTGACAAAATTGGATTCATCACTTTTGATGGCTTCTGGATTTTTATAGGGAAAGATTTTGGCGGGTTTAAAGGGAAATTAGGAAAAGCGGGGAGGGGGGGCAGACAGCACAGGCATGCGATTCATTGATGACGTGTTATTTTTTAGGGGTGATATTAAATACCGAAAATAGGCACGCGAGTTGAGAAATGGAATGTGATAAATGTCATGTCAGCTTGATGTCAGTTTTGCTTACCTTATGCAGGAGATGATCGCACCCTTGCCTTTTTGTTTTAATTTTTTTATTATAAATACAAAATCCTATTTTAGTTGATTGTTGGTTGAGACAAAAATATAGTTTTACTATACATATTCTAGTTCAAATTAGACAAAACCAAACAAATCAAAGCATAATGACTGCCGGGATACCTTTAAACTATTTCATACATAGATGCAGGGATGTTTTCTAGGCTCGTCATTTAATTCCTGTAATAGAGAGCCACCAAAATAATTTTGGCAAAATATAATTGCACTTCTTTCCTTCTCCATGCATAGCAGCCCCTCCACTCCTTGTCTTGTCTTTTCTAGATTATTTAAGATGCTTTGAGATAAAGATCCGTAATTTTAAGCTTGTTCCGCATAGTTATTTAATAAATCAGTCCCTAGTTATTGGATGAACGTTACAGCACTATACCCTTTGTTTAGTTCAAAACCCTACTAAGGTCCACGAAACACAATTTATAAAACCTGCTGGGCTCTTAAATCGTTAAATGAGTAAAGACCCAAGGGTTAATATTGGAATGTGATAAGTCAAAAAGTGGAACTAAAACTATCACCAAAAAACAAAAATAAAAAAAATAAAAAATTAATTTAATTAAACACTCTATGAAAATTATATTTCATTACAAGTTCCATTTTCTTTAAGTGATTCAAATAATAGATTGTTTTGTTTCCTTAAACAAAAAACAAACGAAAAATAAAATTAATTTAAAAAATAGAATGAAATGCTAGACAAATAGAGTTCATTAGTTTGAATTTAACATGAGTTTTTTCTAATTTTATTTCTTAGCAATTTATTCTGAAACGTGCAGAATTCGAACCAATGAAAGAGCTAAACAGGGGAGGGAATTAAACTGAATTCATTGACGGAAAAAAACAACAACCCATACACACACACACACACACAAAAACAACACTTCCTTTTCCACCAGGGGTTCTGCCAGTAATCAGGGCCGGTCACGGTGTGAGGTGAGTGTATCTTGATTTGGTTGGAAGTGAAACGGACTCAAGTATTCAAAAAACGTTAAAAGAAGTGTGCTGTGACTCTATTCGGTATCAGTGGCCTGTCATTTAGGTCAGTGAGCAAACGTATACCGTGGTTCAGCCAGTAGGAGAAATCAAAGATGCAAGCAAAAGTTCAGCTTGGGACATCAAAGATGTGATCAGTGGTTAAGCTTGGGGACATCAAAGATGTAACCCGTGGCTAAATTTGGGGGACGTCAAAGATGTAAGCAGTGGTTGAGCTAGGGACATCAAAGATGCAAGCAGTAATTCAGCTTGGGACATCAAAGATGCAAGCCTTGGTTAAATTTGGGGATATGAACGATGTAAGCCGTGGATAAGTTAGGGAACATCAAAGATGTCAGCCTTGGTGAAGCTTGGGGACATCAAAGATGTAAGACGTGCTTAAGCTTGGTGACTTAAAAGGTATTAGCAGTGGTTAAGCTTGGAGACATCAAAGATGTCAGCCGCATTGAAGCTTGGAGACATCAAAGATGTCAGTCGCAATGAAGCTTGGAGACATCAAAGATGTCAGCCGCAATGAAGCTTGGAGACATCAAAGATGTCAGCCGCAATTAAGCTTGGAGACATCAAAGATGTCAGCCGTGGTTAAGTTAATGGACATGAAGCGTCCATTAATCATACGTTTATCGTTGGAAAAATCTAAAGTTTTACTATTTGGAAGTACCAAGTTTTATAAGAGCCAATGGTAGTAGCAAAATATATGTCGTTATAGAGCTTTGTTAAGATACACTTGGGAAAAGTCTGAACAACATGTAAATAACAATACTAAAAACAATACTTATCGCAATGACAATGATACTAATAATAGAAATAATAATAATAATAATCAAAAGAAGAAGAACAGTAAATTTATAAATTTAATTAAAATAAAATTATTTTATTGTTGATTTTCACAAAACATAATGGTTATAAGAATAACGGTAATAAAAATATAAAAAAATAATTTTTTTAAAAATTGAATAATTAAAAACAAAAAAAGTAACAAAAAAAAAACTCATAATACTAAAAACAATAATAATGATGATGTATAATACTTCCTTTTCTAAATTCCGTGAGTCACGTCTTTGTAAAGTGCATGCTGTAATTAAGGTTTATGAACTGTGTTTGAAGTGCAATATTTCAAATTTTGACTATAAAAGGAGGAAATCTTAACCATATCAATGACCAGGCTATGATAATTTTGGTTGGGGGGGGGGGCGAAACCAATCGAGACACCGGTGTACGCCCACCACATCCTTCCGGGCAAGTCCTCAAAGGAGAGATAACAATGCACTACACCATGTCGCAAGAGTGCTGTGCCGTTTGCTTTCCTCAATTAGTCTGTGTCTGCGATCGGCTGTCACTGTTCAACGGTAGAGCATGTGGCAGACAAGACTGATGCGTCAAAAGATATGTTACATTATGATGGCTCTAAACATTACAAACTACGAGTAAAGCCATTAAAAAAATGATCAAAGAAACTTTTTTTTTGTAATTACCCCATAATCTCAAAATCCCACTTATGACATCATAAAGGCAAAATCCCACTTATGACATCATAAAGGAATCGCGCAGATTAAAGTTGACTCGAGTATTCGATTACAAAAACTCATTCTTTGAAATCAGAATTAAATATTGATTTAGTTGAGTCTTTCAAAGTATTATGTCCAAGTAAGCGTTCATTAGATTTTCTAAATTGTTCAGAAACATTATATTCAAGCTGATATGAGCACTATTAGTCTGCCTGCTGCCTGTTTTTCTGTATGTCTGTCTGTCTGTCTATCTATCATGTCTGTTGTGTCTGTAGGTCTTTCTGTCTGTCCTGTCACATATGTTTGTATGTCCCATCTGTCATGTGTGTCATTTATATCATGTTTGTTATGTCTGGCTATTTTGTCTCTCTTTTTGTCCTGTCTATCTGTCTGTCTGTCTGCCCTGTCTATCATGTCCGTCTGCCCTGTCCTGTCTATCTGTCTGTCCTGTCGGTCTATCCTGTCATGTCTGTCAATCATGTCATGTCTGTCTGTCCTGTGTATCACGTCTGTCTGTCCTGTCTGTTTGTCCTGTCTTTCTGTTTGTCCTTTCTGTCCACCCTGTCATGCTTGTCTGTCCTGTGTATCACGTCTGTCCTGTCTGTTTTTCCTGTCTGTCTGTTTGATTCATTCCATTTCTTTGAACTCATAATTAGCAAACAAGCCTCTTATACAATAATGGGTTAAAGTCAATAAGGGTAGGATACAGAAATGCATTATTTAGTTAAATTATATACTTTCATCCTTTCTGACCGTGATTGATCATCGAATGATCAGTCGTATAGAAATTTCCCTTTCCTACCCAGGCCTTCCCGACACAAACAAAAAAACGGAAAAAAAAACAACAAAAATATTAAACCCGCAAACAAACATTAACAAAAAATAAAATATAAAATGACCAAACAATAACCAAACAATAACCAAACAATAAACAAACAATAGAGCGAAGCCAAACTAGCCGCATTAAAAAAATCATCCTTTTTTAAATCAACTGTTTCACCATTTGTCTTGATACAATCTCTGGACTAGACATCCAGTATAGCATGGTTCTAAGTACAAGCACGCCAAACAAACAGTGTTCTGTGCAATAGGTACCCGGGGAGCTGTTTAGGGGGGGGGGAGGGGGTCATTGAGGACATACTATCGTATTGAAAGCATTAACCAATGTTAAGGAAGTAAAGGGGATTTAACCGAAAGCTCTGTCGCCACCGGGTCAATATTCATTAAAAGTTTTGAACAAGAGTGCAATCCCCTTAGCCGTGTATCACCTACCTTGTCCCCAAGAAATGTCCCCATCATGAGTACACTAAAGATACAGGAAATACAGCACTGACCCGACCCACGAATTTTCTATCAATGTTCTTTAAAAAAATAAAAACTATTATGTAATCAGAGTAAATGACGTGAGAGCCAAAAGTTGTTTTAATATTTATCGAAAATTATTTAAGAGTAATATTAAATCAACCATTTCTAATGTAATAACTACAACCCCCTCACCCTCCTCCTCATTTTTTTCCGCGTGGGGGTGAGGGGTGGGGGGGCATTTTCCAGATTCAGCTTAAATCCGTTGTTGTACTCTCCTTGCTACATTCACATCACCAGCAAGGGGCGTACGAATGAGGTGAGGAGAGGGTAGTCCACCCCTGACGGCCCCCGTCTTTCTTATTTACAGGGCGTCATTTTCGGCCAAATGGGGGGTTTTTTTTTTTTTTTTTTTTTTTTTTGCGCAGTAAGGGGGCGCTCAGCCGTCTGTTGTAGCTTTCCGATTCTTGACAGCGAACAGATTAGCCGCCATGTTTGGCTTAGCTAATTTGAATGACTTATTATAGGGAGTCATTTATTGTTTTTTAATCTATTTAAACCTGCAGAAATGTCCACATAATTCATTGCACTTTTTGGGTGCCCTATGATCAACTTAGCATTAAAGAAAACTACAGTAACTGTTTTTGTGTGATTATTTGTTTTTCCTTTGGGATGGGTCGCAATATTTTATTAGTTTTTGTTCATCTACTCAACTATTACTTAAAAAAAAAAATATATATATATATCAGATAGAATTTATTTACTCGACTATTCCCTGAAATGATTTCAGATAGCATTCTAGGCAGCTCAAAGAAAATAAATGAACTAATTTTACGGTGGATTTTTTTAAGCTGCCATATTTAAGGATAAGAAAATGTTTTAAACATTGAACTAGAAGTTGAGATGAGAAGCCAACGCAAGCTGTCCTTACATCAAGCTGTCCTTACACCACCTGTCCTTACATCAAGCTGTCATTACTTCAAGCTGTCCTTACATCTAGCTGTTCTCACACCAACCAGTCCTAACACCAACCAGTCCTAACACCAAACAGTCCTCAAATCAAGCTGTCCTAATACCAACCAGTCCTAACATCAAGCTGTTCTTACACCAAGCTGTTCTCACACCAACCAGTCCTCACACCAACCAGTCCTAAAACCAACCAGTCCTAACACCAAGCTGTCCTTACATCAAGCTGTCCTCGCACCAAACAGTCCTCACATCAAGCTGTCCTTACACCAAGCTGTCCTTACACCAAGCAGTACTTACACCAAGCAGTCCTTAACAAATCTGTCCTCACACCTAGCTGTCCACACACCTAGCTGTCCTTACACCAAGCTGTCCTTACACCAAGCTGTCCTTACACCAAGCTGTCCTTACACCAAGCTTTCATTACACCAAGCTGCCCTTACACCAAGCAGTGCTTACACCATTCTGTCCTCACACCTAGCTGTCCAAACACCAAGCTTCCTCACACCAAGCTGTCCTTACACCAAACAGTGCTTACACCAAACAGTGCTTACACCAAACAGTGCTTACACCAATCTGTCCTCACACCTAGCTGTCCAAACACCAAGCTTTTCTTACACCAAGCTGTCCTTAAACCAAAGCTGTCCTTACACCAAACAGTCCTCACACCAAACAGTCCAAACACCAAGCTGTCCTTACACCAAGCTGTCCTTACACCAAGCTGTCCTTACACCAAGCTGTCCTTACATCAAGCTGTTCTTACACCAAACAGTCCTCACACTAAACAGTCCTAACATCAAGCTGTCCTTACACCAAGCTGTCCTTACAACAAGCAGTGCTTACACCAAGCAGTTCTTAACCAATCTGTCCTCACACCTAACTGTCCACACACCTAACTGTCCACACACCTAGCTGTCCTTACACCAAGCTGTCCTTACACCAAGCTGTCATTACACCAAGCTGACCTTTCACCAAGCAGTGCTTACACCAATCTTTCCTCACACCTAGCTGTCCAAACACCAAGCTGTCCTTACACCAAGCTGTCCTTACACCAAGCTGTCCTTACACCAAGCTGTCCTTACATCAAGCTGTTTTTACACCAAACAGTCCTCACACTAAACAGTCCTAACATCAAGCTGTCCTTACAACAAGCTGTCCTTACACCAAACAGTGCTTACACCTAGCTGTCCAAACACCAAGCTGTTCTTACACCAAGCTGTCCATACACCAAGCTGTCCTTACACCAACCAGTCCTAACACCAACCAGTCCTAACAACAAGCTGTCCTTACACAAGCTGTCCTTACACGAAGCTTCCTTACACCAAGCTGTCCTTACACCAATCTGTCCTAACACCTAGCTGTCCACACATCAAGCTGTCCTTACACCAATCTGTCATCTCACCAATCTGTCCTCTCACCAAGCTCTCCACACATCCTTACAGCTGACCGCCTTTTATCGTTGATAACACCTGTCCAGTTGATTCTCCCACGACATTGCTATCAGCATTCAGGGTTTTGTCACACTTACTCACCTGTCTAACTGATGCTATCAGCATTCAGGGTTTTGTCACACTTACTCACCTGTCTACTCGCAGAACTCACTGATTCTATCAGCATTCAGGTTTTTGTCACACTTACTCACCTGTCTAGTCGCAGAACTCACTGATTCTATCAGTATTCAGGGTTTTGTCACATTTGCTCACCTGTCTACTCGCACAACTCACAGATGCTATCAGCATTCAGGGTTTTGTCACACTTGCTCACCTGTCTACTCGAAGAACTCACTGATGCAAAAAGACACTTAAATACCTTTCAATAATACAACTTGACGGAACAATTTGCTGTTTTCTATTATAATAATCCTTACAATGTCCCGCCTCGCGTAACCTCCTTTTTTCATACTAAGATCAAAGTAATCCTTAAACCGTCACGACCTGTCTGACCTACTTTTCTGATATTAAGATCAAAGGTACCAGTAACCGTTGTAATTTAAGGAGGGCTTTCTTTCCTGTCCATCTTAATTACCTTCACACCCGTATCAGCTGATAGAAGTATGGCGCCACAAATACCTTTCATTTGCATACATAAACTCAGGTTGAGCTAACAATTTATTTGTTGCGTTAGCATTTATATCACATTTATATTTATATAAACTTACATTTACAGCTATTGAAAGAGACACTTATTGCTGAGCAAAAATACAGCGATGTTCAGTTGGTCAATTTGGAGTAGTACTAGCAACTGACGTGACCTGTTTGTGTTTATAGATGTAGGACACACAGGCACTCACATGTTTACATAAAAAGCTGTAAGGACACACATGTACTCACCTGTATACACTAATAGCTGTATGGACACACCTGTGCCCACCTGTCTACACTTATACCTGTAATGACACATCTGTACTCACCTGTCTACACTAATAGCTGCAATGACACACCTGTACTCAACTGTATACACTAATAGCTGTATAACACACCTGTAATGATCTGTCTACACTAATAGCTATAAAACACACCTGTACTCACATGTCTACACACATAGCTGTAAGGACACACCTGTGTTTACCTGTGTACACTAATATCCGTAAGGACACACCTGTGCTAGCCTCTCTGCACTAAGAGTTGTATTGACACACCTGTACTCACATTTCTGCACTAATAGCTGTATAATACACCTGTAATAATCTGTCTACACCAATAGCTCTAAAACACACCTGTACTCACATGTCTACACAAATAGCTGTAAGGACACACCTGTGCTCACCTGTCTGCAGTAAGAGTTGTATTGAGACACCTGTACACACCTGTTTACACTAATATCCGTAATGACACACCTGTGCTAACCTGTCGGCAGTAAGAGTTGTATTGACACACCTGTACTCACCTGTCTACACTAATAGCTGTAAGGTTTAAGATGGAGGCCGTACACGCCAAGACGTCCGAAGCCACCCATGCGTCACAGAGTGGGTCACTCAACATCCACCTGTTGCTGACAACCTGGGGACAGACAGAAGCTGACGTTAATTATCAATTTATACATGTAGGTCATCGCATCCATTATATTTAGTGACATTTTAAATAGTGTAAAACGACAGGCAGACAAATACACAGTGACACATTGAATGTTGTATACTGACAGACAGACAAATAAATACACAGTGACTCTTTGAATATTGTATACTGACAAACAGACAAATACACAGTGAATCATTGAATGTTTTATACTGACAGGCAGACAAATACACAGTGACACATTGAATGTTGTATGACCACACGAGTAAAGACCAATTCATGAATTATTGATACCGTAGGCACACGACAATTAACATGTATTCTCTTAATACACATTTAGCGATCATATGTTGGAACACGCTCCATAAAAATCATTTGTAATTAAAATAAATGCTATTTACAAGTATGGGGGCCCCAATATAAGTAAAGGTATAATTGTATGTAACCTTAATTTGCACATTGCTGTTGATATTTTCATTCTTTTTGGTTTTATTTAAATTATTTGTTCCTCCAATTCATAACCATGAATCATATATACAGATTGTAACTTGTAATACAGAAAAGATTTGAAAAGTACATTTATTCTATTATTCTATTATGCTCTTTCTGCAACAGCATTACACTCGCCCCCCACCCCCCCATGAAGAATAAACCCCAATACATGTGTAACTTTTGAGTAGATAAGACGGGTTCACAGGGTACCCAACGAAATTTATAGGGATTCATTGAGTTCATCGTGCATCACCATGGTGATGTCCACAGTGATGACCACCGAGATGACCACCGTGATGACCACCGTGATGACCACCGTGATGACCACCGTGATGACCACCGTGATGACCAACGTGATGACCACCGTGATGACCACCGAGATGACCACCGTGATGACCACCGTGATGACCACCATGATGACCACCGTGATGACCAACGCGATGACCGCCGTGATGACCACCGTGATGACCACCGTGATGACCACCGCGATGACCACCGTGATGACCACCGGGATGACCACAGGCATGACCACCATGATGAC